CCGGGATTGCCCTTCTCCCAACGCCCACGGCTGGCCACCGCCTCCCTCCGGTCACCTTTGCCCAGTGGCGCTTCACGCAGAGTCAGCCCTCCCCTGTCCTGCTCTGTGTTCCCTTGCCCTGACCCTCTGCTCGACGTGTTCAAGGGCCGCAGAGTTGCCCATGGCAGAACGGGCTACTCCTTTTTGTCCTTTTTTTTTTTTTTTCCCCCCTGAACTTAGTTGAATCCATTTACACTAACTAGGCTTCTGGTACAATTCCACCAACTTTCAGATAAACTTCTGTATTTTGGGTGGCAAAGGAGGGAGGTGGTATGTGTCACTTGTCTGTAACATGTCCCCTCTGGGCATTGCGTGGAGAATTAACCAGCAGCTTTATTCATAGCTGTTGGCTTGACTATGCCTCTGTGTGGGAGAAATACAGAAAATTTACTTTGCTAGGTTAACTTTCACTTAGCAAAATGGCTTTCAATTAGGGTCTATGCAGGTATAAAACCTACCGTGAACTTTCAGAGAGACGCTTTCTGAAAAATGATGTTATTTTATGTTGGGGAAAGACACGAAGAAATCAAGTATCATCGAGCACACGTAACTCGCTGGGCGCTCGTGTGTTAGAAACACAGGGGTCAGCAGATGGTGTGGTGGTTCAGGCACTAGACTCCCACAGCTCTCGTGGTTCAAGTCCTGGCCCAGCAGCTTGAAAATCACACCTGGTGCATGTGTGTGCATGTGTGTGCGTGTGTGTGCATGACCGAAACCCTGAGAGGAGCATGGGGGGTCAAGTTGTACCATGACCATGCCCCGGGGAGTGGTTTCTCACTTTCCCTCTCTCTACCTTATGGCAGAAAACCTGAAAAAAAGAAAAGAAAAGAAAAGAAAAGAAAAAAATACTTCTAAAGCATGTTTGTTCATTCCCTTATATCCTCAACTAACTTGTCTTGGGTTGTTGGAAAAGTCATGACGCATTCTTTGCATAGAAAAACGTAGAAAAAGTACCTCTGGACTTTTCCGACAGCCCCGTATTTCACGACTGTGGGCCAAGCGCGGGTCTCGGCACTTGGTTCCCTCATCGATGTTGACGTCAGCCCATGAGCTAAGGACTCCTTCACTGTCCATTTCACCACTGAGGGGAGGGGACACAGAGAAGTTAAATAACTCACCTAAGGTCACACAGCTCTTCAGTGGCTTGATGCAGGACCCAAGGCCTCTCAGTAACTATCTCGTGAAGTGAACTAGGCCCTATCCTCAACTACTTACTCGGCTTCACCCTTGGCCTGTCTCAAGAGTGTCTCAAGCCCAGAGGGTCCACACCTGAATTGATCATCCTCTGACTCCCCCTGGGGTCTTCTCCCGCCACCAGCGGGTTGTGCACTCCAGAAATCCCAGAGATAGCCTTGACTTCCCCCTCCCCCTCACAGCCACATCTAGTCTGTCGCCAGGTCACACCCTGTTTCCCCAGAATCCGTCCCACTTCTCTCCATCTGCCCTCCCCACCCCACCAAGGCGGCCACCCTCTGTGGACCATGCAGTGGGCTCTGGGCGGGCCTCCTTGCCACCACTTGGAACTTGCTCCAGCCTGTTCTCCGGATGGCACCCAGAGTCACTTTTCAGAAAGCAGTTTGATCCCCGTCTCACTCTGCTCAAAAGCCTTCAGTCACAGGGGCAGCAGGTAGCGTAGAGGTTAAGGCACTGGATGCCCACAAGGCCAACTGCAGTTCAAGTCCTGGACCTGGTGGTTTGAAACTCATGCCAGGCATGTCTGTGCATGTGTGCCCAAAATCCCGAGAGGAGAATGGAGAAGAAGGGATTATGGTGTAGCCATGCCCCCTGGGAGGGTGATTTCTCACTTTCTGTCTCTCTGTCTCTCCAGTGAGTTCATGCGCCCTATAGCAAAAATCTCTCTGGGGCAGGGGGAGAATAAAAAAAACCTTTGGTCACTTCTCACTTCATTTCAGATAGAGCCAGAATCCCCGCTCGTTCTTTCTGGGCCTGATGTGGCACGCCACCCATTCAGGCCTCAGAACCGCTAGGACGTCCCCCTAGTTAGCTGCCTCCGTCCCACTGTCACCTGGCAGAGCCTCCTGCCCTCCCTGACCAGGCCAGCCCTGTGCGTGGTCTGCATCCGAGATGCTCCGTGGAGGTGACTCATACAGGTTTTCTGTCTGGAGGTGTCAGCGTGCTTCATTTTCCTTCTTACTAATTGTATTTACTTAGAAGTGTCAGCTTTGGCATAGCTCCTGAATACAGCTCTGTGCAGACTGAAGTTTAGAAATTTAACTTCAGAACCTCGACGCAGCGGTTCCCATTCCACCTGCCGTGGCAGCTGGAATGTGCTGGAGCACGCTGTGCATCTGGGCTTCCTTCGCGCGGCCCTAACAGTGCAGCTGGCTCTCAGGTTGACAGGATGGCTTTTGTCAGAAGTGTGCCCTCTTAAGCTAGGCAGGCGGGCCCCCATCTCCCCGTGCTCTGGAAGCCGGTGTAACAGAATGAGTGTACTCCAGACAGCCGGGACTAACCGGCGCTGTAAACCACAATGGAAAAACTCCAGCAAAGTATTCCCAGTAGAAATCTTGGAATCCCTTCCAGTATATTGAGATTTTGTTAGAAATTGAATTGCCAGTGTAATCCATCTTCCTTGTGAGAAAACACTCAGATAAAGAGCCGGGGCCTTGCAGCATTCACCATTAGAACATCCCTGAATCAATACGCTACAAATCCGGCCACACGGCCGGGCAAGGGCTGGCTGCAGCCCTGCCGCCCGCCTCCCAGGGCCTGGCTGGTGAACTGGGGAATGCCGCTGTATTTTCTCGGTGTGCATCAGGAAAGCTGTTTCCTTTTGTCTTCCAGATTTTCCCAATGTGGTTATCGAAGGCGTTCTCCACGGGATATTCTACCCTCACCTGCAGCCCAGGTAGAAATCCTGCTTGGCTGAAAGAAGCTGAAGCAAGTTTCGAAGTCGAAGTCGCCGTCAAGGAAATCGATACCTACCAAATTAACCTACCCTCTATGACATAACGGCTCTGGCTAGTGGTGAAATTCACAGTCCCAGCTTAATTCAGGGCAGGGACATTTCCATTAGAATGGTGCTTTTAAAAATAGAAACTGAACCAGGGTAGTGACCAGGGGAGGGCCTGGTGGTTGAGAAGTAGAATGTAGCTGCCAACTTCCACACCCAGGAAGGGAGGACGCGGCGGCTTCCTGCAGTGCTCGGTGTAAGTCACTGTCTGCTTCCACCGCACCAGATCGTACCCGAGTCACACTGAGACTGGTCAGCCTGGTAGCTTTTTGGTTCGGGAAGTCCATGACACCCTCATCTTCTCACCGTGAGATTTTTCTCAGCCAGGGATGGGACATTCTGGAGCGTGCGCCCCGGGAGTGTCACTGAAGCACGCTGTCCTCAATGTGAGGAAGGGACTAAACTGGAAATCAAATGATGTACTGACAATATAGTGACATTTAAAAATCATGGCATTAATTTATATTGCAGTGGAGTTGCCTCATGCCCAGGCTAGCGTCTAGGATCTGTGTCTAAGATGACACAGGTGGCAGGACCCTGGAAGCCCTCTAGGAAGGCGCCATATTGGGAAGCACACCCACCACACTCAGTCTCCTCCAGGGCCAGAAGAAATGAACGTCTCTTCCCTCGAAGACCAAGTGAAGCTGTCGGTGTCTGGGGGGCCGCTTTGCATAAACAGCAGGTACCCTTGAGCACTAGAATCACACTTAGGCCTGTGAGATGCCTGCCCTGTGAGAGGCCGATGGGAGCTGATGATGTCTGAAGGGACAGCAGGTGGCCCGCCCTGGCCAGGGCTTACTCAAGGGAGGTGCTCCCTGACTGGGTGGTCCCACAAGTTTCTTGTCAGCTTCCTGCAGGTTCCTGTCCACTGGCCTGTCCCCAGCCGATGCGAGCTAGACGCGTTCGTGACCTAACTCCGCTGTCACTCACGGACCTCGCACCGCCAACAGCGAAGGACGAGAGTGTACATGCTGCCGCCCGTGTGTGCCACCCGGGCCTCTCATCCCGCACTAGCGCCCAGCCAGCTGACGGCTAGTAGTTCTAATAGGCTTCTGTGTGGGAGGAGACCTAAACGCAAAACTAACAGCTACATCATGGGTTTTGATTAGGAGCTTAGTAGTCGGGTTTGAAACCACATGCCGGAAACAAGCAAGAACTAAACAATCAAGCGTCATCCACCAAAAATAACCGAGTAGTCAGGTACTGGAGATATTTTTTAAATGTTTTTATGTTATTAGCTATTTTGAGTTAAATAAAAACAACAAAAAATATTTGAATTTGTCTTCTGCTCTTAGATTGTATTGGAAACAAGGATTGTCTGTCTCTTTATACGCACACATAACCTCTCACGTATTTACATAGACATCTTTGAATTATTGCATTGTAGTTATTGTTATTTTCATTTGACCAGGGAGAGAGAGGGAAAGTGAGAAAGCAAACTGCCAAGTCCAGGACTCAAACTGTGGTTGGCCATGAGGGAGTCTAGTGCCCCAACCACCACACCACCTGCTGACCCTGAGATTTAGTGCTGACCTGACAGGATCGGCGTTAAATTGCTTTGTCTATTGTAGGTCGGAAGATACTCATAAAAGCCAAAGATCTTCAGTGATACACTGCTCAAAAAAGTTTTTTTTTTAAATGAAATTTCTCTTAGTGGTGATTATTTTTAATATTTATTTAAATTTTAAAATATTTATTTCATAAGATAAAAAAAAAAATTCCCGACAGGATTTCCACGCCATGATCCACCCCCAGTCTCAGCCAATTCGGATGGCAGACATTGCACCTGGTACACCAGGGACCTTCCTGTGGGTCTGGCTGCATTACCGCTGCATCACCATGTGGCCCTATGTCTGTTTACATTTTTACCATGTAATTTTACCAGGGTCATTGCAGGAACTAGAAACTTTTTTTTTTTAAGAATTATTTAATTTAATTTTCAGTTTGCTACATTGCACATGTACTCACCAGAGAGAGAGAGAGAGCATGAGAATGAAGTAAAGTGAGAAAGCAAGTTGCCAGATCCAGGACTTGAACTGCAGTTGGCCATGTTAGAGTCCAGCGCATTAACCCCTGTGCCACCCAGTGGCCTCACCTGACTCTTTATTTTTACCTGTTTTCATTTAACCATGCATCTTAGCAATGTTTTCATCAATACAAAAAATGCCTTCCTCTTTTTATTTTTTTGAGAAATTTTTTGCTTTACAACATGTGCACTTGCCAGAGACAGAGATAGACAGACAGTGAGAAATCACCCTCCAGGGAGATGGGGGGTTGGCCATGCCGCAATTCCTTCTCCTCTATTCTCCTCCTGGAATTTTAGGCATGCACACACATACCCCCGGCATGAATTTCATGCCTCTGGGTCTGGGACTCAAACCATGGTTGGCCATGTGGGCGTCCTCTGACATAACCATTATACCATCTGGTGGTCCCCCTTCCTCCTCTTTTTTCTTTTTAGCTGCATGGATCTGCTATAATTTATGTAACCAGAACTATATTAATGGAAATTTCTTTCCTTCTATTACAAGAATTCCAGACAATACACACACATATCATTGTGTATTTCATAATTTGTATAAAATAAGTATTAACATGTAAAAACTGTCGTTAAAAAAAAAATTGCTGGCCCCATAGTCTAGTGGTTAAGTGAACTGGATCCTGCATGGCAGATCATGGTTCAAATCCTGGTCCTGGCATCTCAGAAAACATGGTGCGTGCGCGTGCCCCACCTGCCAGCAGGGTGGAGAAATGGAGGAGAAGCGGTGTGGGTGCTGTCTTCGCTCTCCTTCCCTCTCCGCGTGGGTACATGCACCATCGGTAATTAAGGACTCTAAGGCGGTTCCGCTGCAGTGCTGCACACTGCTGTCTCTGTGCTCCTCGGGCTGGGACCATGGGAGACCTGCGTTTGAGTCCTGGTACAGGCCAGGTACAGTGCCACCCACCTGTCATCCCAGGGCCTCAGAGGCCGAGGTGGGAGGAACCCACAGCCAAGGCTGGCCTGGCAGCAGGGCAGGAGCCTGTCTGCGAGAAAGCCGCCCAGGGCCCCCGCCTCTAGTCCCAGGTGAGAGGCTGGAGCAGGAGGATGGTGACATGGCGAGACTGAGAAAAGGAGGCGGGGGCAGGGCGGGGCAGCAGTGTCACCACGGCAAAACAGCGGTGGTGTCGGAGACCCTGAGAACGCGGGGCGCACACGTGCCTGTGCTCCAGGGCCGGCGAGCTGCGGGTGGGTGCCGGGGTCACTCATGGAGGAGAAAGGCCCCGGGCTGTCAGGCGTGCAGTGCTTGTGTGCCGTACTCCGCAGCCTCGCCAGCGGTTTATTGGCGTTGCCCCTGTCACTGTATGGCTGGGCCCTGCACAGATCGAGGCCGCGTCCTTCACGTGGGCCGCGGTGTGCGTGGTGTCTCCTCAGCCCTCTTGGCACCTGCGCTTGGGAAATACTGAAAAACTAGATCATCCGAAGCAGGGATCCATAAGCCATAGAGAGGTACAGGGTCATGGGAGGAAACCGGAAGCTGATGGAAATAAATCCATTACTGCGTTAGCAAGGTGTGGGACGGCCCCCTCCTTTTGTTTTTCCTTGTTGTTCTTTGCCAGAGGGCCTGTGCACTCACCAGGAGAGACCTGAGGGAGGGGCATGGTCACAAGCGCCATTCCTTCTGTTTCTCCATCCGTGGAGATTTGGGGCCCCCATGCACATGCACCCGGCTTGTTTTCCAAGCCACCTGGGCCAGGATTTGAACCACAGTCAGCTGCTGTATAGGCTTTAGCTCCCTTAACCACTGTGCTACAAGGCCACCCTCCTTCCTGCCTCTGGTTCTTAAAATTGGTGTTTCGCCTAGAAGCGACCTCAGTCTATCTTCCAGTGCTGTTTGTTTTGTGTGGGGTTTTGCCATAGGGCGTGTGCACTCTGCGGGGAGAGAGACCGGGAGAAGGAGAATGGGAAATCATCCCTGGGGGGTATGGCCACACCGCAGTCCATCCTCCTCTTGTGCTTTTTGCCACGCATACATACCTGGTGAGGTTTTCAAGTCACCACGTCCGGGACTCAAACCACAGGTGGCCGTGGAGAAGCCCAGCACCGTGCGCTGCCACATCACCTGCTGGCCCCCCTCAGGCCGTGTTATATGGAGCCTCTCTCAGGTCTCGTGTCTCTTGCCTCGCCCTTCTGCAGTCCTGCTCTCTCTCCCAGTGTCCTTCATACCAGCCCTGCCCCCTTTTCCAATGGTCCGCCCTGAGAACAGCCCAGGGACACCGTGACTGTGCCACCAGGTAAATCTACAGTTAGAAGCTCACTTTGAAAAGCGCAGGCTCTCATAGCCACAGCTGAGAGGACCTGCACGCTTGAAGTATAAATGGTTCCGTCACTCTTGTGCGCTGTGATTGGTTGATGGTGGCTGTTGGGCGTGCTGTGTTACGAAGGGTCCCAGCACCGGGTGCTGCTGCTGCTGTGAAAGCAAAGCGAGAAGTGGTGGGGCCGAGAGGAATCTAGAACCCTTGTACACTGCAGGCAGATGGAAGGTGTTTCAGCCTCTGGGATGATGCTTCACAAATGAACAGTTACCGCCTGATCCAGCCATTCCTCTTCTGGATAAATGCCCAAAAGAAGTGACAGCAGAGACTCGAACCTGTGTTCTCAGCTGTATTGATTTGTGATAGCCAGTCAGTGGGAACAACCCCAGGGTCCACCTAGGCCAAGTGGGTGTGAAGGATGGAAGTTCTGAGACACATGACCACATGGATGAACCTTGAAGACCTTCCGATCATCGCAGGCCACTTACACGATACGGTAGGCTGCCGTGTGGGCCACGTATGGGAGGCACCGGCAGTCAGACTTAGAGGGAGAACAGAATGGGCCCACCATGCCTGCGCCTGCCCCAGAGCCAGCGTTTCTGGAAGCACCCAGTGTCAGTAAGACACACCCCACATTGACAGGGCAGACATGGGCAAGGCGGTGGTGGCCAGGCCAGGGCTGGGGCGGCTGCTGCTGGCACTGCTCCCACCCACCCAGATTTATTCAAATCAAACAGCGGTCATGACACTTCCGAGTAACTCCTCCCAGATTACCTCGGCTCCCCCAGGTCCGCCTGATGCCTCCACCAAGGCCGTGGGCAGTGCCCCGTGGTCAGCAGCCAGGCTCCGTGTGATCTCGCTTCCTCTCCTGCTTACCTGCTGTTAAGAGACTCAGAGCAAGAAATTCTACACTTTCCATCTTTTAAACTCAGTCCAAGTGGCATCCAGAAATCCAGTGTGGCAAGAAGGGAAAAAAAAAAAAGGTCTTCATCGAATCTACTATTTCCACACCGTATTTTATCGACACACAAAATGCTGCGAATCCCGGATTTGATTGGTTGAAGAACATGTGAAGGACTTGACCAGGTGATAAATGCCAAGACTAAGCCTGCCGGAGTCTCGTGTCCAAGAGGAAGAGACAACGCTCGAAATGAGTGAAGACGTGATTTCCTTGAATGTGGCTCAGGAAATGTGGACATGTAACACTCTACCTGGAAATTAAAATAGATTTTCTCTTATCCAGAGGTGAAGAATAGGATGGAGAATGGAGAGTCAGTCTTCATTTGGTTCATTGAATCCATAAGGCCATAGGACAGTCAGGGACATGGAAAGTGTCTGTAATTCTATTTCTACGCCCACTAAAAGGCACTTCCGTGTGTTGCTGTAAGTCCTCAGTGTATTGTTCCGGCAGGACTCATTTGATGCCGATGCACTCGAGATAAAATTTCACGTTGTAGGAGCCAGCAGTTAGCATAATGGCTATGTTGCTGAACTTCCATGTAGCCAACCGTGGTTCGAGTCCCGGACTTGGTGGCTTAAACTCACGCTGGGCACATGTGCATGCGTGCCCAAGATCCCAAGAGGAGAATGGAGGAGAAGGGATTGTGGTGTGGCCATCCCCCCTGAAGAGTGATTTCTTGCTTTTTGTCTCTCTGTCTCTCTTTCTGGTGAGCACATGCGCCCTATAGCAAAAACCTCTCCAAAAAATATTTTTTTCCACGTTGTGCAGCTATCCCTGTTTTCTGGGGAACAAAACTGTGTTCCTCTGCAGTGTTGGGTCTGACACTGCCTTTGACTGTTATGTAGTAACTGAGATGAACCGGGCAATGATGGACTGAGATCTGCCCCAAACCCAAGTGTACCGGGCAAACGTCGCTCCATCTGTAACCTCAGATGGTGGGCGTTCTCCATCACCTGCCTGTGCTGGACAAGAGCACCAGGTTCATTTAGTTAAACTCTTTTTT